ACATTTTTACATATTTGTAATTTTTAGACATTTATCATTTTCTCCCCTAAGCTTACTAGGTTTACTTTAGTTATTATTTCAATCAGCTTAAGGGTCATGTCAACAGCTGATCCGAAGCAGCGTATTTGAGTTTAATTCCTGGCTGGCATACCTGTCTGCTTTTCTACTAATTAATAGCATATTGCAAAGAGGACAGAGTCTCTAATTTGATGGGAGAAGTTTACTGACGGGATAAACAAGACAAAACTCCCCCACAGGGATGCCCAGTCCTCTGATGCATAACCAAATCTAATTGTCCGAGATGAGCTTTATGGTTTTTCTTTCATCATGGTCTAAAGCCTTCTTTGCCTCCAGAAAAAAAATTCAAATGAAAATAACAGGTGTTGGGTGTCAAGTAGAAACTAAAAATGTTGTGGACTGACACACACTGAAGCTGAATTCCCAGAATGGTCTGGAAGGGAGGAGGAAGGTGAGATGGAAGAGGGAGAAATGAGAAGCCAGGGAGACCGAGACAGATTGTGTCTGTGACGAGGACCCCTCCCCAGGCCCCCCAGTACTCATTTCAGACCTCACCAGGGCCTGGGGGAAACAGCTGATGGAGACTAAGGATGAGGAACTAGCCAGCACATCTGAATTTGGGGAAATCAGGCATGACATGTGCAAATATAAGAACTAGAACAGCCAGGCTTGGACTCCAGAGCCTGGGAATTGGGGTTAGAAGCAACATTTAATCCAGTCTATAAGGAATAAAGATTCACTAGGTAATGTCCAACAACAAATGACAGTAATACTAAGACGTATAAAGAACAAGGGAGCAATTCCAGCCGCACACTTTAGAGAAGATGCATTGAGCCCTGTAGAAGTACAGAGATCTGCCCTGTGTTTTAGACCTTAAGTAGATATATTTGGAGCCAATTGATACTTCCCTAATGCTAATCCAATGTTTAATGCTACAAAAGAAACATGGTGAATTAAATGAGTTTTTAGATACAAGCTGCTCAATTACAAGAAAAGCAGGATTGGAGATGAGGTGACTTGGGCTCCAGCCTCACAGCTGCCTCTTTGCCCCCTTTGCCTCTCAGACACTTACTTGCCTACTCTGAATATGTTTGGTTTTAACCTTAAACACACACACACACACACACACACACACACACACACACACGCACAACCATTTGCAGTTCCAGAGGCCAAGGCCATGTTGGACCCACCACCCATTCCATCTAATACCAAATCCTTGTTTCTCAAAGACTTTTTTCCTAGTTGGATTAAAATCAGTGCAGTCCTGAAAAGAAACAATGGTTATAACACAATGTAAATGACACTACATTATACTAAAATTTCAAAACTATGCCGGGTCGTGGTGGAGCACGCCTTTAATCCCAGCACTTGGGAGGCAGAAGCAGGCAGATCTCTGTGAGTTTGAGGCCAGCCTGATCTACAAAGCTACACAGAGAAGCCCTGTCTCAAAAAAAAAATTCAAAGCTATGATCCATTTTCAGTTCCCACTGATAGATGGTGAGCATAATTTCAGCTAAACGACCTTGCCATCAGCACTCATCTCTGTGAGAAAACCAGATCCCCTTCTACCCTTTGAAGGAACATAGCTGATGTGACTGTAAGAGCCTTGAGTACTTGTTTATATTAGCATTCTCAAGAGAATTTGGTGTAAAACAAAATGAAAACAACCAGCCACCCTGAAAAGTCAGTCCAGTCTACCAAAGTTTAAATATGGAAGTGAGTAATAGTCCAGGGATCACCTAAAAATTTCCACTACAGTAGAGAAAGCCCTTTCAGTTAGATGTTCCCTGCTGATTTACTTTATTACTGTCTGGAGGATGTCCACTGTGTTCAGAAATATGAAGTAGGTGGTAAGCTGTCCAACAACCTTGAGAATAGTTCACATACACACACACACACACACACACACACACACACACACACACACACCCCGAAAATAAATAGAAAAAATAACCACAGAAATAATTAAAGTTGCAATGTCTAATACTGACAAAACTGGATAATTTTAAAAATGGATGCCTACAAAGGAAAAAAGGGGACGCTGGAGAGATGGCTCAGTAGTTAAGAGCACTTGATGCTTTTGATGTTTGCTTCCCTGCAGCCGTATGGCTGGGGAGAGAGGGGGTGTTTCACAACCACCTGTAACTCAGATCCAGGGGATCTAGCACCCTCTCTGGCCTCTGTGGGCACAAGCACTTACATAGTGCACACATGTACATATGTGTAAACACTCATACACATAAAGTAAGATATTTTTTAAATGCAAAGAAAACTCAGGAACCCTTTAGAAAGCCATTTAGAAGCATGCAGTTGGTGCCTTAAAATTTTCCCAGTGGCTACAAAATAAATCCAGGAATTTTTGTTTGTTTGTTTGTGTTTTTTGAGACAGAGTTTCTCTGTGTTGCTTTGGAAGCTGTCTTGGAACTCGCTCTGTAGACCAGACTGGCCTCGAACCCACAGAGATCCACCTGCCTCTGCCTCCTGAGTGCTGAGTGCCACCAACGCCCGACCAGAGATTTCTTTTTTAATAATTAAAGAACTTGTCAGAAAAATATGGCTGTATTTCTAGAGATACTTATTTTAGACAACATGAGTATTCAGTAGTTTGGAATTGAGTAAAAGGTCGGTCCCACCTGACTTTGATGGAGGCTAATCAAACCATTCAAGACACTCATGAGTGCTCTGTAGAAACAAATCCAGTGGTATGGTGATAAAAACTCATAATGTTACACTATGGGACATGCTGATAGCTACTTAGAAATATGGAACTGTGAGTAAAAAGACTATGGAAACAGGACAGCATGAAAGGAATTCCCACAGAGGGAGTTATGAGTCCCATTTCTTAGTTTCATCTTCTGTTGATGGTTCTTTTTAGCAATGTGAACAGGAGAGAAAGAGTCCAGCTTTTAGTCCCTTGGGGTTCATATATTGAGGAAAACATTACACAGCCACCTAAGCAATATTTTTCTCCCCCTCTTCAAATCTCAGCATGAGTTTTTCCTGGATCTGGGACCTCAACTGTGTTTTGTTGAGATGTCTCTGGCTGCCATGGTTATTCTCTGTAAGTCAGACAGAGTTGACGTTGTTCCCCGCCGTATCCTCCCTGCACATCCCATCATGAGTTGTGACGCTAGAGCTTCCTGCCGCCAGGCCTTTGATGGCAGACTCGGTAGCTCTTCTCTGTTTGCGTAGTAAATGATGGTCCTGGTTCAGGGTGGATTCTGTTTCCAAGTCCTTGCCCTTCCTTGTGTCCAAGTGGCGTATTAAAACTTTCCCATAATGGCCTTACCAAAGTACGTGCAAGTGTTACAGTTACAGTGTGACTTTATGTAGGAAGCAGAATTACTCACAGCAGATCAAGACCTTAGCAATGACATTCCAGAACAAGAGAAATGTTTTCTGCCAGGAGAAAGACTCCACATGCCTGGGTTATCCGGTGCTACACACACACACACACACACACACACACACACACACACACACACACACACTTCTATAGGTTATGTTTACCTCGGGTTTCTATGCCTCTGGAAATCCACTATCGATAGGACATATGAATCAAATGATAAAGAGAACATAAGTCAATGCCCCCCACTGTGTGTGTGTGTGTGTGTGTGTGTGTGTCCACACAGCCTCTTAGGTCAGGCTAATGTAAATCTTGACTATTTTCCATAAACCTAGACAGTGTTGATTTCTTTGTCCCATAATTTATATACCCATAAAAGAGATAATAAAATAAAACTTGCCTCATAGGAGGTTGTGTGGAAGTTAAGAAACACTACTTAATGGCATGTCAGAAGGTTCATCAGGTCAAGGTGCCTGCCACCAAGCCTGGGGACCTGAGTTTGATACCTGGAACTCACATGATAGGAGGAACATCCAATTCCCTCAAGTTGTCCTCGGACTTCTACACATATGCTGTGGCTTGTGCATACATGCATTTGCACATGTACACACACACAATGAGATAGATAAAATGTGAAAAAAGAAATATTTATGTACATGGTTTTGAATTAAAAAAAAACACACACAAAAATGACCCCAGGTTACTTGGGAAACAGTCTTCAAAATGAGTTAAATTTGTAGTGAGCCAAAAACTGCTCTTAAAATAAACCCTGTCTTTAAGAAATCAACTGAGAAACAACTTTACCTTTCTCTGTGGAAAGAAGAACGCTGTCTAGAAGGCAGTCGCATAGTGAAGGACACTGAAAATATTTCATATTTCTGATGGGCAGAAGTTTGAGCCACATAAAAACATCATAAGGGCACAGGGTGTCTTTTGTTTCTGGGCACTTCACAGGGGTTGGAGTTTTTTGTTATTGTTTCTGTTTCATTTTTGTTTCCCTCTTTGGAAAACAATCACTGGTTCAGAAAGGATGGTATATGCCACCATCCTTCTGAGATGGGGGCATTTGCTACCCCAACAGCTATCACCTTTCTCATAAAGGCTGATCATTCTGCATGACCATGAGGCGTAAGTCTGACTGTTTTCATTACTTTCACAACACCATTGTAAAGTATTTGTACAAAGCCTTTTTTATTTTTTTAATCGGGTGTCTTTTAGCAGATGGTACATATTCAAGGATATGTAGTTTCAAAATAAACATATATAAATGTTACTTTAAGTTTAATAAGAAAAATCTAATGATTTAGTCTTTAACTGAGCTGATAGATCACTTTCAAGTTCCCCACCAAGAGAGTTTATCTTTGCCAAGTGACCTTTATTCTCTCAACAAAGTGGATGATTCCCAGAACTATATTAGCTTTCTTAATGATGAAAAGACTACACAAAGAAAATTAACCCAGCTAAATACTTTGTTCTCAAGCATATAAAAATTTGGAGCTCACTGGGACTAATTATTCTAATAGTTACTTATCTCCTTTTCTAGCACATTCCAGAATGACCAACTCCTCTCGTTATCTCTATAGTGTGCTAGTTCTGTTTGTTTTGCTTAGTAATGTATACTTTCTATTTTGAGGGTGAGCCTGGATCACCTGGAGAAGCAGGGCAAAGTGGACTACCAGGACCAAAGGTTGGTACAGATAAAGCCAAGCACAGTTGTCACTGCATGGTTTCTACACAGTTTCAAGCTGTCACAGTTTATTTTTCTGGTTACAGTGGGGTAAAACTTTTTGTCAATGGTATATGGCCATAGAACTTTGTAACTAATGACTAAATTATGCTTTACGATTTCATTAGCATTAGACACGTAAAAAAGAAATAGAAGATGATTGTCTGAAATCTTTCTTGTGGGGCTGAGAGATGGCTAAGCAGATAAGAGTGCCTGGAGCTCTTGCAGGGGACTAGAGTTCAGTTCTTGGTACATGACAGCTCACGACCTTCTGTAAGTAACTCCAGTCCCAGAGGATCCAGTACCCTCTTCTGGCCTCCAAGGACATCAGGGACACACACAGTACACAGACATATATGCAAGGAAAACACCCATAATATACTTTTAAAGAAATAATCTCCTTAAGAAAACCTTCAAAATAACTACTGTCATTTTACCCCTTATTGAGTTGTGAAAACATAGGTCATGTCAGACTGTCTCAAATCTGCATGTTAGCAAGCCCCACTACAGATGAGGTTCACACAGCCGTGACAGCTTTTTTCTCATGATTTGGCCACCTTCAGCTTCTATACCATGTGACCAGTTAGTCAGACAAAGAACAGAATAAAGATGTGGTGTGTTTAAAATTTAAAAATGGATATAGTTTGAATTACTAAATAGGGAAAAAATGTAATGAGGATATTTTTTTGGATTGCTTGTTTTCTTGGTTCCTTGAAGAACAAATGACTCCGTTAAATCAAAAAAGATTGGTGACAGTTTAGTTTAAACCAAGCAGGCAGACAAATCCCAAATCCTTTGATGAGTGAACACCCCTTGAAGCACAAAACTAATGTCTAATCCCATCAGCTGTGCTGGTGTGAGTCTGTACCCACAGATGTCTGTCAACTGATTTTACACATCACGCTACTATTTAGGTGCTGTGGACAAACCTAAAATTCATAGGCCTGCCCCCCCTTTTTTGTCCTGGAGGAGAAGAAAGAAAATATTCCTTCTGGGAATCCAGCCCTCTTCTGTCTTCTTCTCTTCCTTTCACTTCACTAAAAAGCCCAATGGTGGGAGTTAATTCTTGATGAGTATCCATAGTACTGTTCCTGTGTTGCCCAGCAATACAACCATCAGGGTGGATGTTGAGTGGTGAAGGTCACCATAAATGCAGAAAGCCAAGGGGTCAGGTTTGTTTCCAGAGAATGAAACGATCCTTGTCTCCAAACTGACTTCTGGATGGGGCTCTTTTACTTTGGTTTTCTTTTTTCCCCCACAATAATCTCCTTAAAACATTTTAAGCAGTCTGCTCTCATGGCAATGCCTATTCAAACTTACCATCAGGGAATGTCATGCTTTAGAATGTCTGCTATCTGTCCCCTGCCCTTTGCTAGAGAAAAGGAGAGATGCAGTTCTCTTCAGAGAACAGCTTCATATTTTAAGCCTTGTGTTTTATTGGTCATCATTTCTAGTAGGAACCTTACTCACGAAGGCTGCTGCATTCTGGTATCTTGGTCTGCAACACATGGGTTCCTACCAGTTCCAGATTTGATGATCTTGTCAAGGGGTCCAAGGGCTACATTGAGGGTTTGTGATCATGTCCAAGGAATACAGAGCTGTACCAGGGGTCAGCTCTGAAATAACCCATGCATCAGGGCATGCTTTAATAGACAGTCTTAAGGAAGGACATGCTAACCCTCCTTATTGACTTTGAGTTTAAACAGATATCACACTGTGTTCCTGGGTGACCTTCTTATCCACTGCACACATCATTATCCTTATAGAAGTAAGGACTTCAGATTAAAGTTGACATTGGTGTCTGTACCCAATTCTTTTGGATACTTTTGCAATTTGTTTTCATATAGAAAATGAAGTCAAAATAGATGGTGCCCATTATAATTCACCTAGTGCATTCAGTGTGTGTTCAGTATCTGCTTTGCTTACTATTGCTTTATTAGCTCTTCCTTAATCTCTCTCAATCTCTGTTTTTGTGCTCAGGGGGAACCTGGAAAAGAAGGAGAAAAGGTAAGAATGGCTCTGTTGTATTTATCATGCTCCCTCCCCCCATCTCCAGAGCTACACCCAAACTGAACCAGATGGGTGATAGGATGAATGGTGGATAGATGGACAGATGGATGGACATATAGTTGTAAGTGGAGATTGGGGAAGAGGTAATAAGTGTTCATCTGTCTGTCTTTCAGACTGTCAAATAGTGGAAAGAGAAAATGTGGATTTATCTTAAGTATGAATTTTGAGATTGGTGTTGGAAGGAAGGGGAGAAGGGCAAACTCTGCATGCCAGGCTTTACAGTGGCTTCCAGAAACCCCTAGCTCTGTAAAAACCCACTCTGCAATACTTACTAATGTCATTCTGATGCCTTCCTAAACATCCACAGCTGTCTCTGCTGCTGCTGGGGACTCTGGGTCCAAGATCAAAGGTCAAAGGGATACAGATGTTTGCCTGCAGCGATTGCTAAAAGTGACCCCCAAAAAATCCCCATCAAAACCAGAAAAGAGGATGGACAGAGAGACAGGGTTACATGTTAATCCCTGATAGATGCTTCCAGTACTGCTTGCTGGCCTGTCTTAATAGTCTTCAGACCCCTACTGTGTACAGCACTGTTTAAATCCAGGTTCCCTCTGCTAACTTCAGTGGTGTTTGGGTGTGTCTGAGTGGAGTGCTACCTAGACAGCCTTTCTGAGGAACATCATAAGCCCGCTTTCCGAAGAATCCATCAAAAGATCAGAAAAGCAGTCCTCAATTTAACTGCATTTCTTAGCCTTGTAAAGCAGAAAGAAGGCAGTATTAAGTTGGGAGAGCAAAATAGGGGTTAAAAGGCCATTTGTGAAGGAACAGTCAAGCTCTTTACTTCACAACTACTCTGAGCCCTCTGAGCCTGGTTTCCCAACAAGGAGACTGGTGTTTTAAAGGAGTTTTCGAGCCAGTTTCTAAAAAGCATGTAAGGAAGTTACCTATCAACACTGCCTTAGACTATGTGCCCTAAAGCAGATGCTTTGGGGCATTCGTTGTCCATGGAGATTCAGTCACCAAATAACTGTTTCATGTAGAAGTTGGGGAGGGAGGGGAGCAATGCTAGCACCCATCTTGGGTTCATCGGGTGGCTGCTGCCTTCCTGGCCCACTGTAGACAGGAGCCTGAGTAGGTGAAGTTCATGTTTGACAGTTCCTCTTTAACAAGCTCTAAGGCTTAAGTGAAAGAATTCAGAGTTTAGTGGAACAAAGCACAGAGATAAAGTGAAAGCCTTTCCCCTTGGCACTGCCTTGTGGGTAGAAAGGAGATATCATTGGAGGAACAGGGAGGGAACCAAAGAAGTACACACTCCCCTAATTCAGTTTGCTGTCACTTAGGAGTGAAGATTTCTAATAGAAATATAAAAATTCATTTTTCTGAATGTTGTCCATGGAGCCCCAATTAGATAAGTACTCAGTCTTTAGGCTTTGGAAGCCTGAGAACCTTGGCTTGTAGAATTTATTCAGCTTGTAGGGGGAAGGGGCAGGCTTGTACAACGAGAAGAAGGTCCCAGAAATAGCAAACAGAAGTGCCACGGCACACTGTGGGAAGGGTTAGAAGATCCCTGCTATGGGAAACTGTAGACAGAGGGAACCATGACACTGCAGGAGCTCAGCCATGTTCCCGTAATGAAAGTAACTGTGTTGGCATCAGTCAGAAGTAGAAGTGTGCTGGCTCTGTGAACATTTGCAGTGGATTGTAACAAGAGTGTCTAAAGGAGAAGTCACTGGAGAATGGTCTTTGCTTCAAGTCACCCATGTCTTTAAGTGTTTCCCTTTGTCCTCTTCTCAGGGAGATGCTGGAGAGAATGGTCCCAAAGGCGATGCAGGAGAAAAGGTACGGTCTTAGGAAACAAGGAAGCCTGTGTGCGTGAGCAAGAACAGGATAGCATGTGTCTGAAGTGGGGAGCTTTGGGAGGCAGCATCAGAGAAACCTCCCGAGTTAGAAAACAGTTCAGCGTTTGACTTAGAAAAAGTGATTATTTCACATACTATCCACAAACCTAAATTTTCTGAAGGCAAAATGGTTTGCCAAAATTTCTCAGAAATAAATAAATTTTCAACAATAGGCATCTCAAGCAATAAGCACACTTGCTCACATGGCAGTGTGCCATCGGAGGCCTAGAAGGGGAGTCCCTGGAGTGATTCCTTCTGTCCTAGTTCAGCAGTATGTTGGTAAGGATAAAATCTGAAAGTTTAGTCTTGAGTTAATAGCACTTGACTGCAGTGTTTATGTCCGGAACTCTGGGTACCACAGCCTTTGCGTTCTGTCTTCCCCCTCCTTGGTCTTTGGAATACATACCGATCTGCGTGTGTCCTCTCTTGTCCCACCGGTCTGTCATGATGGTGCTTGCTCAAGCTTGCATTTTGACTGACATCCCTGATATCGTGATGGCTGTGACATCAAGAGGATATTTTCCTCCATCTATGCAATGTGTTCAGACTTGGAAAGAAAGGCGTTTTAGAAGCTGAGTAGAGTCAAAGCAGATGGATTCTAGTGCAAACCAAGTGAGGTAACTAATGATTATTCACTCAGGCTTACAGTTGAGAGGGAGACTGTTCCATTTTGAAAATTATGACTATACAGATGGATAATGGTTAGTCATAAAAACATGCTCATAAAATATATAGAAACTTATCTTCCTCCATCTCATAAATATTAATACAAATATGGCATAGGGGTAGCAACAAATTAATGTCACTAAGTAGCAACTGTTTGTATTTGAGAAACAGTTTGAATTTAGGGTGGATTCTCAGTTCTTTGTAGGCCACGTGTCTTGGCCTCAGTGCTGTTGACAGTATGGACCGGATGCTTCTTCACTGTGTGGCTGGCAGGTGGATCTATGTTCTATGAGTTACCTTTAGCATCCCTGTTTCAGAACCTCTGCTGGAGGGGCATCTTTTTTCATCTTCCAAATGTAAATATCAAGCTGTAATCAGATACTACAACATGGAAGTATTTATTGCAGATAAGACTGTAGATACTCCTGACTGCTTTCAGGGCAGGGTTGGAACCCCTGGGGATGTAAACCCAGATGATGGTTTGTTTAGTTTTCATGTTCTTGTCTAAAAGTAGATATAAACCAGCTTGTTCTATAAATTAATATTTTAGGCTTTGTGAGCCACGTAGTCTCCAGCACAACTCCATGGTTCCATTACTGTAGCTGAATTCAGCCACAGACAACATGCATAAAGAAAAATGAGTAGGATCATGTGCAAAATAAATTTTATTTCTGGGCATGGTGATTTTGAGTTTATGTAATTTGCACGTATTTTGTAATATCGTTGTTATTTTGATTATTTTTTAAAACCATTTAAAAATATAAAAACCATGCTTGGCCCAGTCTTGCAAATATCAGAAAGATTTGACTACAGTAGCCAACCTTTACTTAAAACAAAGGAAATACTGTACACAGAAGGCAGCTTCTTCAAACAACAATAAAATATATAAAATTTGAACTGTACCTTTGTGAATTTAAATAGAGCGTCTTATGCCGTAGAGGGTTTTTTTTTTAACTTCATTTTTGGAACATAGGCCAGTAATTGTGTCTTTGCTCACACAGGTTTTGAAATTTAATTTTGTAACACTAAAACAATGCTTTTCCTTGAAAGGACCCAAGTGTCTCAAAGGAATGTTGTTTTTACTTTATACATAATGCAAATCAGTTACCATACTGACTCACACACCATAAACTCGCAATAAATACTAACTTTTCCTACCATGTGGACATTGAAATCAATGACATGGTTGTTTTTCTTTTCTTTTCTTTTTTATCAAAAAGTTTTATTGCTCAGCTGAAATTAAGTATAAAAATGCCTCAGTTAAAGCGGAAATGGTTTCTATAAACTTTCAATGGATCTAAACAGGGGATCGTAAATAGCATTCTGTAACGTGTATAATATGTAATCTGACCCACAGTGTTCATCCCAAGAATGTAGTGATTGGAATATAATTTTTGATGTGTTTTTTAAACATTTCCTGCTCCTGTCATATAATTTGTTTCCAGCATGTTGGAAACACTCTTCTTGTGGCCTTTGTCTCCAGTATGTGAAACTCATTCATTACTTTCCAACTTTGAAGGACAAAATGAAAAAAAATTTAAAGTTCTTTTCTGCTATTGATGTAGTAAATTACGTCATTGACTGATTCACTTTAATGGATTTTTTTTCCTTTTGATCCAACTCAGCACATTCGAATGGTAAAGCAATCTGGGGCTTTCCAGGCTGGTCATCTGGAAATGCTGGAAACTATAAAACCACTGACTGGGCAGGGCTTCTCTGTGGCCAGCAAAACAGTCCACTCAGTTTAAGACTAACTTGCCAAAGACTGATTTCAATCACATGAAAAGTTACTATGGAAGCTTTGTATTCTAGTCTTTGGAGTGTTAATTCCACCTACAAATGTTGAAATCAATTTCTTATCCATTGCAAGTGTGTGTCTGCACAGCTCACTGAATGGGTGGACCACACTGCTGTACCCCGTGTGGTGTTATCTGTCAAGTCAAGATCTCCACCTCCGCTCTGTTGTCACGGTTGCCAGTCCTTCACCTTCTTTCTCCCATGGCCTCCATTCCTACCATGCATTGCCTTCTTACTTGACATCTTGAACTCAAGCATTGGCCTTTCACAGGGCATGTCATGTTTGCACTTACCAACCAACCTGTCTTAAAAGCCACACCTGGCAGACTGTGTCAGGGGCACTTCAGGACAGCCAGCGCCTGGTCCTCTCCAATCCTGCCTGGGCCATTCCTTGTTTAGACGCCTGCTCTCTGCCTCCCCCTCCCAGCTCCACATCTCCATCCTCTAGCTTTGTTCAGTCCTCAGTCTTTCGAAGCTTGGATTTACAAGTTATTTCCCAGGGAAGCTCTTTAGTCTCCTACACTGCTTAGGTCATCGCCTGTACACTTGAAAATCACCCTGTAATTCTGTTCCTAATGCATTCTGTTCTTTACCCTAATGTGTTCTGAGTGTACTAGAAGATGAACAAACAAACACAAACCCATAGGATACTGCCTACTTTCATTTCTAGCTAATGCAATAAAATCCCCTGACCAAAAAAAAAAAATCCCCTTACAAAAAGTAAGGAAGATGGGGTTTATTTGGCTCATAGTTTGAAGGTGTAGCCCATCATTGTGGGGAGGTCAAGTCAGGAAGCAGCTGGTCTCATTCCATATGCAGTTGAGAGCAGACATCAGTGAATTGGTGTGTGCATACTTGTACTAGTCCAAGGCCTAGCCCATGAAATAGACCCAGATTCAGGATGGGTCTTTCTACCTCAACCCAATGAAGAAAATCCTACCTAATTGAAACAATTCCTCACTGAAACTCCTTTCCCAGGTCATTCTGTACTGTCAAGTTAACAAAACTAACAATCACAGCTTCATTCCTTGTCAATTCGACACCAAACACATCACTTTTGAGCCATAATCTCCCATCCTTTGTCCCCAAAGTCAACCCAAAACTGAATGGTACCAATCTGTTCTAGTTCCACAACTAATCCAGGTTTCTATAACATTGTTATTAGATATAAATACTGTTTGGAAAACCTTTTCTTAAAAAATCTTGAACAACTTCATATTTTCATTGAATGGTATAAAGTTTCTATAGCCCCTGCATTTGTTTATTCTGTCTTTATTAACATCTGCATTTTTAATTACTTGCTGGGTGCTGCGTTTGAAAACAATCACATGTAAAACCAGTGCTTGACCGAAAGTGAAAAACAGTAAAATTGCCAGATGTAGTGCCGCATGTCTTTAATCCCAGCCCTTTGGAAGCAGAGGCAGATGAATCTCTGAGTTCGAGGCTAGCTTGGTCTGTGTAGTGAGTGAGACATTGTCTTGAAAAAAAAAAACAATAAAAAGTTGAGTTCATTTTTCTCACAGAACTACTCCATCTGGGGCTTACCCCACTGACTAATGAAGCTGGGCATATATATAAGCTATAGCAGGAAAGCTGTTTCCTACTGTAATCCTTTATTCACTAGCAATTTGGGGATAGGGTTATAAACATCCCCTGCTTTATTTCAACTGCTTGGAACATTATCCCTTCTAGCAGTTGTCTTGTTCTTAAAAGTTATAGAAATTCCTGGAGATTTCACAGTTGTGAATCTTTTAACAGAGAAGATATAATTATGAGTTGACTATCAAATGAAGCCTCTCATATTTCCACAAGTAAACCAGACTTTCACATGTCAGACCTTCCTTGCCATCTACTTTCTCAGAGGACAAAATCTAGTCTTCATTCTCATATAGTAAGTTAGCCAAATAGTTAATATAAGAACTACCTTTAATTTATACATTTTCTCTGGCCTTAGGACCCATTGTTAAATGATATAAGTCAATAATCCTTTTCTTATTCTAATAAAAAGAGTATGAGGAAGCTCATAATTCACTTCACTTGTAACTGCTTCTTCAATTTTTCTCATCCACTAAGTGGAAGTAGCAATGCCTTCCCTGCATGGGAGTTTAAGGCATAAATAAGACAAAAGGAACTTTGCAAAGTCAAATTGTTTTTATGAATAGAAAGGTAATGTAATCAAAGTATTGCAAACTGGTTCATTAGTGTTGATGGCTCCCAGACTTAGTTTAGTAGAAATAGAAACAAGTATTATTTTCTTTGCCGCATGTATTTCTCCCCTCATTTGGAACTCATTTGAATGTTAATGGTTGAGAAGAGAAGACCCATTCATACAATATTTAGAGTTCACTTCTTTGTTTAGCCACATTTTAATTTTCCTTGGGTAATGGCAATTACAGATGTCAAAGAAATTCACATGTGTGCTTCTTTCCTCAACAAACTAAATTTACTATTTCCTTCTCTTTCCTAAGCTCTTGTTTCCCCCTTCCTAAAGTCCTCTTTTCATTTTGATCCTTGACTGCTGACCCGATTAAAAACACTGATTTTCAGACAGTCATTCACTCATTCACCATGTGTGTGTGTTAAGCACACACTGTGGTCGGGATGCAGAATCTGTTCCCATGCGGCTGTCTGTCTGCTGACAGGACAGACGGATATGCAGGCAACACCAACAGCAGTCACAACACAAGCTGTGCCAGAAAAAAGATAAAGCACGAAGGTACACAGTAGGATGTGCTCATGGTGGGCCGTGTGTAGAGGTGAATTGGAGAATGTTCCTTGAGGCAAAGCCATGTAAATCAAGACTTAAAACAGAAATGCCATCATGGGAAGACATGAGTGGAAATGAGGAAAGGGGCCATGTGCCGGTCAGTGCACAGGGGCCTGAGGCCTCTGTCTGTCTGTGTGTCTGACTCTAAAAGAGATTGACGAGCAGCTTCTGGACTCTAGAACAAGTGAACAGACCCCTGGAGATGTTTGAGTATTTGTACAGATGACAGAGCTTAGGGAATCTCAACTCTGGCCTCCCTCCTTCAATTTTCCTGACAGTCACAAATGGCTACCTCCCCTCCTTTTCTTTGTCCTTCAAACAGGTAACAGTCTCACCTCTCTCTTCTCCATGCTTCTGTCTGTATTGGTCCAATCCTTAGGATGTTTGTGTTTCTAGGAGCAGTCATCCTTCATGAAATCTGGGCAAACACAGTCTTCTAAAAATCTAGCACCTCCTCCCATGTCCCCGTCAATAGCCATCTCTTACCCACCCCTGTCACCTCCATGTCAGAACTAACATCTGTGACTTACAGATAAAAGCCTTTAGAACCTATTAACTTAGCCGACCACTGCCTTCCACCAACCCCAAAGCTAAGAATGTCATCAGATAGCACCTGAGGCCTTTAGAAAAGCTCCCCCTCTGACTGTAACCACCTCTCTGATGTACCCGCCAATTTATTTTAAACTTACCTTGATTTGTTCTAAAAAATTCTAAAGCTTCATGAAACTGCTTTGTGAAATTTGGAGTACCCTAAATCTATACTCCTGGGCCATGGTCACCCAAAAATGCCTGTAGAATAAACAATCTCTTAGTCTCTTTAAACAGTTGAAAATCAGATCCTATCTCAAGACTTTCTTAGCCCCTCCATGCATTCCCACAAGTCATTCATCATGCTGTGACTTGCCAGTGACTTGAGTTACAGCGCAATGAGGGTAAAGCAGGAAAAGGCATGCTCATGCTTCATGATGGCGACAAACCGATCTACAGCATGGCTTTTGCAACTCAACATCATTAACCTTTTGACTTCATGTGTTGAACCTTGACCTTCCAAAGACCAAGAAGGGCAGGAACTCCCTGTACATAGCCAGTGACATTAATAAATCCCAGAAACTAAGAAAACCAAAAGTTTCAAATACCTAAGTTATAACTCATTGCTTCAGAATATATATTTTAGCATTGTATTAAGGAAATAACTTGGTGTTTGTATATTTCTAATTATTTCAAGAAATATAGTCTTTCCATGCTTTGTATTCAAAGTAAACCCATGATTATAGGCAGGGCAAGGTTTCTCTTACACACTGTTATCATATAAATGGCTGGGCCTATTGATGTACAAAGTACGGTGGGGCACAGTTAGGCCCACTGGTCATACAGAGAGACCTTCTGAGTATCCATGTGAGTAATGACCACCTAGGTGCTTGCATTGTTTTCTCAGTACTTGTGGCATAATCTCTCCTGGGTTTCATTGTAGGGTGACCCTGGATCATCTGCTGCAGGAATTAAGGTAACTATGACCTTGAACATGCTTGTGCCAAGGGAATCATGATTTTGACTTTATGAGCCACTCGTGTCTCTATCAATATTGATGGTTACAGCTCTGGTCCAGTTCTCTGGCAACATCTTCCAAACACAACAGGGAAATCCCTGGCAGTCTTAGTAGGAGGGCTTACTTTCTCTTCCATGTTCCCTTGGTTCAAAGAAATAATATATTTATATGTGAGTTCTAGACACAGAGCAGTTTCCATATGTGTAGTGTGGCGGAGAGTAAGAAAATGACATACACAAAAGAGTGTAATCAAGTAGACAGTTAGGTCATTACTGTAACACTGCCCAAAAGCCTAACGGTTTTCAAAATTTCTTCTAAGTCTTCCATTTTTAACTTTGGTTTTCTTTGGCCAGGGAGAACCTGGAGAATCTGGCCGTCCGGGACAAAAGGTAATATCTCTCTCTGTCTTAGGTATGTTCTTTGCATCTCTCCATGGTCAGTATATCACAGCATTGTCATCAAATATAGAAATGTTTGTTGCACAGTGGTCCAATTTCCATGGTTGGCATAATGTTACTGGTTGCTTTCCACTTTAAAAGATTTTGATACTGAGCATAGCAAAGTATGAAAACAAACTTTGTATATATGTACCCAGCTGTTTGAAACTAACCAACCTCAGCTGAACTGGAATGCCAGCTAGTTGCCTTGCATGCTTAAAGGTAATCTGTGTTTCATGAGAAGAAATAACTGTATACTAAACAGTCTCAATGGAGAATGATGAGCAGTTCTTTTGAAATACAACTCTACCTCCACTCAATGCTTTCCTGCTAACTTATATAAGACTCTAACCTGTGTCATGAATGTTGCCTTATGGAAACTCAATTCATTTAAAGAACTAAATTTCAATTAGCAACTCTATCTATACCACTTTCACTAGCTGAGATGTGGGTACATTAAATTTATCATTTGTGCTTCTTCACTGAATGTTTATACTCATTTTTCATCTGAGTCTGAAGCAGGAAACAAATGTAAGCAGTTTCTCGGCTGAGAACCCGGGTCGCAATGCCCACTCCAGCCAAACTCCACCTAACAAATTATAGATAGCAAGAAAATGTGATTCCACAGGATCAGTTCCTTAGAACCATGCCCTTTCCTTTGTCCAGTGGTAGCTGATGTTATAGGCAAAATATGAGTTAGGACATAGAGCATACCTCATTAGCAGAGACAGAGAGATAATCACATTGCAGTAGTTTGGAACCTAAAGTTGAGAGTTTGCTGATGGTCAGTGTTCTTGATGTCATTGAGAAAGCCTTCATTTAAGCACTTGGGATGGAAGTAGCTTCTGAGAGGGTTTGCATGTTCTTTTAACATTTCTCTAATAACTATTTTCCTCTAAAAACTGAGAATCTCAGTATTGATTCATCAGCTCACCTCCAGGTGAAATGAGAGCCCAGCAGAGCTCTTCAATTCTTCCTGTTCTGATCCGTCTCTTAGTCTTCAGGGGCCAAGTTTAACCCAAGAATCCACACAAAATATTTTAAAGAAATGGGTTGTAGTAATCTCCCTCTTCCTCTGCTCCTCAGTTAATCTAGAACAATGCCCCTCACAGCTCTTTGCTGGTAATAGATGTATACAGCCAGTCATATAGGTTACTCTTCAATGTGTTTTAGTGAAATATTCCAAATACCTTTTGGGAAGGAACCTCAGAGGTCAGTGTTCTTTCTGTGGTCCCTTTCAGTGGTGACAGCTTTCCACAGACATGCCCAGCCTTTCTCCTCATGCTGACTTTTTCTTTGAGAAAGTCAAACTTATCAGCATATGTGGTTTTTTTCTCTTATAACAATGGGCACTGACAACGTGAATAGCTGAACCTATTAATCTTTTTGTTCTACTAGGCAGGCTTTATCATGGACACCTTAGCAGGCAGCCCTCTCGGGCCTTTTAAAAGAAATGTGAAATTACTAATAACAAAGATCCATTTTGAAAAAGCAACTGATCTTTCTCAGTTGATGTGGTTTTTGGGTTCCCTTGTCTTTAATAATTTAAAGATTTTTCTTAAATTGCCCTCCAAATTTGTGATTTGCTCAAAGAATGTCAGCAGGACCAGGCTTGGTAGAATGTGCCTCTAACCCAACCCTCAGAAAACTGCAGCTAGAACACCTGGCATTCAACGCCCACCTGCCTTACATAACAAGAGTCTGAGTCAAAGGGAGGGGAGGGGACTGGTGAGATGTCTCAGCGGGGAAAGGCGATTGCTGCCAACACTGATGGCCCAAGTTTAATCCTGGAGCCTACATGGTGAGAGAAGAAAAGTGAATCCTGCAAGTTGACCTCTGGGTTTTACACACACACACACACACACACACACACACACACACACACACACACACACGAATAGATATATAGATGATAGACACACACACGAATAGATATATAGATGATAGATAGATAGATAGATAGATAGATAGATAGATAGATAGATAGATAGATAGACAGACAACCTATTTTAAAGCATAGCAGGGATGTGCACCTGCAAAGTGTCTCTAAAACACAAGCCAAAACAAATCTCAGTAATCCTGGGTAGGTGCCACTGTTTCCATAGTACAAGAACCAAATTGGCCTTCAGTTGCTTGGCATAATATTGCATTATTATAAGTATTTATAAAGATAACAGATTCGTTCTGTACATTTACAGTTTGCAAGCAGGGACATGATTTTCTTTGTGTTTTATCAAAAAAAACAGATTTCAATGGCATCAAAAGGAGCCTTTATGTAGGTTGATATATGACCTGAAACAAACAGCATCCTTTTTATTAATATTTAGTTCAGATTCTACCCTCTGACACAACCTTACCTTCCTACAATTGTATGACTTCCTATCGTATTTTCATAATAATGCCCCTAACGTTGAAAACAGAGCATTTCCACGTTTGCTGCTTCAAGGCAAGAATGACAAACTGGCCTGGGTATCCAGTCAGTCCTGGATATCATCCATGGTGTTTTTGGCACCACTGATGAGCAGTGCTGTGGTGTTCATTGTCACACTAGTTCCAGAACTTAGGGGTGTACCCAGGAAAGTACAACATGACACAAGCGGAGTGATGAGCCTTCCACCTGAGATCATCTCCAGGGATCATCTAGGGAGATATTATAGTGGAGGAGGGTTCATTACACCACGTTTTTCTCCTGTAGCTTCAGCAGAAGAGCTACATGTAGGTTTGCAGAGATACTATCGACTTGTGAAGTGTAAATTGTGTTTCACCACACAGATCTTGCCTTCCTCGCTTTTCCCCAGCTCTTAAAAGTATACATTCTAACTTCAAAGGAGGAAATCACTTGGTTCCCCATAAGAAGGGACTTATACCAATGAACTCTAAAGATTCCCAGGGCATTCTAACAGAATCCCGGGCGTAGGACTCTCTCAGAGTACAGAATGGAAAGTTGAGAAGGAAAAATAGTAAAATTAGAAATATAATGTAGCTGTGTGTAATTGAAGCTCTTGAATGAGGACTCTGAATAAAATAACAAGCCGACTCAGGTCTAACACATTAACTGTGCTCCCATGTGAGCCACAGCATAGACATGGATGACCAAGTTAGCTAAAATTGTTTCTCTTAGTTAGAAGGTAAGCTTTCCACAACATAAAGATAAAAGCTTCTGCAGGAAGAAATGTCTTGCTGAAAATGTGAAAAAGTGTTCCATAAGGATAACATTAATGATATCACTATCTCTCATTATGTTGCTATGAGCAGGAAGTTAATCACAAACATTCAACACTATAGAATATGAATATAAAAACAAATATGAATATATGAAGTATTTAACTGAAACATACATTTATGACCGGCCACATGTATACACATATACATACATGATGTAGAGAAAGGCTAAATACTCATCATTTAACATTTCATTATCATATATGTTATCCTGTAATTTTTTTACATTTTTCTCATTAGAAAACATTGTATGTGCTAATCATGCATACATGTGCATATCAGTAATTTCTTTAAAGTAGCTATGTGGCCCTTTTAAATTGGTAGAGAAGGAAGTGGTGAGAATTCTTACTGGAAAATAATACTACAACCTATTTATTTCCACATATGTTTCAGATGCGATATCGTCATAAAAGTTAGGGGAGTCTTCTCCCAAGTGTTATTGGTTGGATATTATCATGCAGTTCCTTTTTTCAAAAGCTTCATGCTATTTTTAAGCAAAAGATGATTTTCAGTATAATATGTTTGCAAGCCCTTTCTATTAGGTCCTCTTAATGTTACTGATTAAAGGGTAAAAGAGAAAAGAAAAAAGAAAAGCAATGTATGATGTTGCAACTCTGTGATGTTTAATATACCTAGACACCTGGTCTTTGGATGGAATAATAAGCAAGTTAGCATTCCTTTCTTCTCTAATTCAATTTCCTTGCAGTTGCATTTATAATGCACTCTTCTGCACAGAATGCCTTTTCTTTTGCATTCCTGAAGTACCTTTAACAAGTAGCAAGGGAGCCACTAGCTTAATAAAAGGCTTAATAAAATGTCTAAAGGTTTAATATTTTAATTCCAGAAGAAATTCTAGCTCTTTGCAATCTGAAAGGGCAGGTAGTGGAGTTGGAAGACCCAGTTGCTGGTTGTAGTTTCCTTGAGTTAAGGATGACTCAAGGGCCAGCAAAGGGTCTCGGCAGTCAAAGCACTGTGCTCCGCAAGACATGACCCGAACCGGATGCCCAGAACCCATGCAAACATGGAAGGAGAGGACCAAGCCCACAAAGGTGTCCTTGGACCTTCACACATAAGCTGTGGGAGGCAGGCACACATGCACAATCATAGTAAAATGATTAAAAATTAAAGATAATGGAAGCATTTAGGCTGTAACACATGCCTCCGCTCCCACCTTCCTGGGACCTCTCCCTCTTTGGAAATGGTTGTCTTCTCCCTAAGTGACCATTACAAAACTTTATGGTTGTCTTACCTCCTGTGTCACTTCCACAGATAATAGGCAACACTTTGTGGCAAACATATGTTTTCCTGACTCCTTTATTCTTTTGTAGTGGACTTCAAGAGACTTTCTAAGCAATGTAACCTCTTGTGCTTAAAATAACATAGGCAATCCTGTGAAAATGAGAAGGTCTAGCCCGTCTCTCGTGTGCCTACCCAAGGCCGACTTAATCTCTGACCTATGTTTGGGAACAGCTGCACAGTACCATTAGCCCACCACTGCTAAGCAGGTCACCCTAATCCAGCAATTGTCAGGCATATAGACTGCACCTAAGTACATTCTTAACCATTTATTTGTCTTCTCATCCTTCAGGAATGGAAAGGAAATCTTACGATGCTTTTAAGAGAGCAACACGCTAAGTGTGTGTTGTTTTCCTGGGTGCCATCTGTTCATACAGCAGTCTCTTGATTGTTCAAGCAGGGAGAGCCCTGGGATAATAACGCACGTTATTGAAGCAAGCAGCTCCAACAAATCGTTGGCTGAGGGAGTCATAATGCAGTCTTTCCTCCTCCACTCCTCTCTCGTGCCGTCTGATAGAGATGCCAGTGAGCAGGGAACTGCAGGCAAAGGCCAGTGTTTAAGAAATCTACCAAGTGGTCAGCCAATCCCGGAATGGAGAATTGACCGACCAGGCTCATTCCCCCTCCGCAGTCTTTTGTATACATTTCTATGTTCAGCTGGGACATTTGCCATGTTTTTCTCTGATGCTGTGGCTGAGTACATGTCACTCTATAATGCATTGTGATTTTCCTACGTAGGGTGAGCCAGGGCTGCCTGGACTACCTGGACTCCCGGGGATCAAGGTAAATACTCCACTGACCGACTTCACAGAACTATAGTTATGAGTCACCCAAAACTTGGAGGAAAATTGAGAAAAAAGTGAATACTGGTCATTAACTATCCTGATGTCTCAAATTATTAGCTTGTTTTTTTATTAGAAATTGCACGCAGGTGTTTAAAGTTGGCCATTGCCATCCAGACTATATATTTCACTGTTGGTTTTATCAACAAATGTCATTTCAAATGAAATCGTGCAAGGTTTTTAAAGTCTAGAAAGAATATCTCTATACCTTTAGCTTTTAACTTCAGCACTAAGGTCCTATCAAATTTTAACCAAAATTCATTTTAGCACACCTGTAACTCAGATAGTTTGGGCAATCATGTATATGCTTCACCATTATAATAACCCCTCTAAGATGACTCCTGTCAGTCACTCTCATGGAAAAACAGAAACCTCATTACTAAAATGTTTTGACCCACACATGTACTTTCCACAAATGCTCTGTATTTTCAAATAATCACTTAAGGTTCAAAATTAAAACATTGTTTTAAGATTTAAAGATTCTTCGGTCACTTAAAATGGTTTTTTGAAAAAATTTTAAGACTTTTCCCATGGTACCTACAAGACTTAAAGCTCTATTATCTTAGTTTTAGCTATTCCTTTAGAGTAAACATCACATATATCCCAGACGTGACAGAGTAACATTCAAGTACATCTTCCGTTCTAAAATTAATTCAATTCTGTGTGATATTTTATAATATGTTAATTGAAGTTAGTATGATTTTACAAGTACCTATGATGTTTATAATGTTATATAGGTGATCAATACGTAGAAAAAAACATGTCTTCTAGATTGGCACTCAGAAATTCTGGTTCTAGTATTTTGTTGGCTGTTTCTAGATTACTATGAAAGTTCAGATTGCTTTTCATATATGTTTGACTCTTTGGTAGACAGTGCACTTTGAAAACATGCTTGCTGAAGAGTCAAAGTCACTTACCTGTCATTGGCTTCTTAGCAAGAATGACATCCTAACTTGATGGGAAAGTTCATATTACAGGGTTAATTTATGGCAGTTCTTTAGTAACTTCCATGCATTAAAATGACAGCTTTTTATAAATGATAAGATCATAAATTTTTAAATGATTTAAGGTCATGTCTCTTGGTGTTAATTAGAACCTGGTGGCATTACAAATCATAGTGAAGACATTTGAGACAAAGGACATTGAAGGACAGGGAGGTCACTACAGCAAGCACATTGGCTTGCCAGGTTGCATGCTTACCTTGGGAGAGCCCTGGTGCTCTGAGATCCTCTTGTCCCTTCTCCTGGGTTTCAGACACTCTGGTCAAAAAGAATAAGAATGGAAGCATTATTTTCCAAAATACAATACAGATAAATACGCACATACGCACAAACACAGTTATTGTGTTTGTGATCCGTGCCTTACTTCAATGTTATGTCTACACTAACTCTTGGCCTTTCCCTGTGACCTTTTCAGTCACTCATGACCCTTCCAGAAGGTCATGAATTCTCAGGTAGAGAGGGCTAATAGTAAGTGCTTAAATTCCCACAGCTGGAGAAGTGCTAGAAATACTTTGCTGAGGTAGTGTGGCTCTGATACTGCCCTCCTATCTCTGACTCACTAAGTGATTGAACTGAGAAACTGTGAGTTGGCAAAAACTCTTCATTATTCACTAGAGATGTTGCTCTTGGTCAGGTCAGTACCATGCTTGGGTCAGCATCTGGTGTTTGAGATAAATCATGAGCTCTAGTTTTGGTTTAGTAAGGCTTGTCTTCTCACTCTAATTCAAGTGAAAGATAAGCTTCCCTTACAACGTGATAAGTACTAAACATTGGTGAATAATTTGGGAGAAGACAATTTAAGGACACATTAAGGCAGTTACTATTCATTGTATATTCATAAATATAGACTTAAAAATTTATAATTGTGTGATACTACATTAGCTTGAGATACTCCTTATTAATTTAATTTGCCTCATTTCTGCTAATGTGGCAAACTACAGGAAAATTAATTCTCATTTCATAGTTTAAGTTATTAACCAGTAGTTGAAATCCATACGTATGACTATGGAACATGAAGTAAGGAAAACATCAGTCATGATCTTGGTCCTGTGTGTGTGTTTATGCTTTGTAAATATTTCCTGTTGCCACTCATGTCCTCCTTATCTGCCACTACCACAGAGTGTGTGCACATGTTATGTCCAAGACACTGAGGAAACTCAGCCATTACATACCAGAGAGGCTTTGGTTCACCACCTGTTCCTCTCGGGGAATAGCTGGAAACTTAATGAGCACCCACATGCCATCCACGGCTCTCAGGAAATGAACCAAGAACCTAAATACAGACGACAGACTCATCTATTTATCACCTCAGTGTCCTACTCTAGGGGAAGTGCTAAGACTAGGCATACATAAGGGAAGTCACTGAGACCTGACATGACTACATCTCAAGCTGTTCTTAAGCTTCCTGCCGCATTTGAAGGCATTTGGAATTCACCATGTGGAAGGCATTTGGAATTCCTATTTCATGCATTCATGGTTCATATAGTGTCAAGATGTTCAACTGGGAAAATTAAATTATGTACAATGTACCATGCAGAAATTGATCTTCTGGAATAAGATTTGAGCTTAGAAAATTAGTTTTATGAACAAGCTTTCAAAAATGTCAGGGTTGTTTTCCTCCCTCAAGTGTCTTAGTGGATAGTAATCACTGTGCTACCTTTTCTGATATCAGATAAAAACATAAGATTTTAGAGTGTCATTTTTGAAAATGTTACTCTAGACACTTATTTTGAAAAAAAATATAGTTTACCCATTCTTGTGGTTCCATTTCCCTCACAAATAAGTAGTATTGACCAATGACCCTAGAACAAACCAATCATAGCTTTCTTTACAAGTCCTGTGACTCAGGGCAAGCTTTGTAATCTCTCCGCGAGCTTCAGTTTTCTCGTGAGAACCAACAGTGACCATAGAACAGAGTTCTATTGTAGAGAAAGACATGAATGAATGTATGCATAGCTCTTGATATCTCCCCCAGCATATTGCAAGTGGCTGCTGCTGCTGTTTCTCTTGGGACAGCTCAGAATATTGAAAATATTACTTACGCACCAGTTCAATATAATCTTTCCTTATGTATATAATTGTAAGCTGTAGAACATGCATCTAGCTGTGCTTTATATAGATTAAAAAGTATGAATCCCCCTTTAAAAGGATGAGGGAGTAAAACCTTTAAAAGCAATGGAGCACCCACTTTCCCCACTTGCTGAGTGTGTTCCAGGAGCAAAAGGCCAGGGTGCACAATGGTTTGAGGATAAGAGAAGTCAAGTGAACATTCTCTTCCTGACTGTTCACAGGAAAAGCAAAGGACAACTTGACACATCCCTTATGATGTTTGTCTTTCGAGTCTGGGTAGGTTCACTCACAATGAGTGTTTCCCGCTCTATCCATTTGCCTGAGGATTTTATAACTTAGTTTCTCTTAAGGGCTGGATAATTTTCCAATGTGTAGATGTACCACATTTTTAACAAGCCATCTAGACTGTTTCCAACTGTGGCTATTGTGAATGGAGCAGCAGTGAACATGGATGACCAGATGTCTCCACAGTGGAATAGATTGTCCTTTGGATAGATGTCTAAGAGTGGTATAACTGGATCATATAGGAAATTTACTTCCAGCTTTTTGAGGAATCTCCACACTGATTTCCACAGTGACTGTACCAGTTTGCACTCTCATTGGCGATGAGAGGTTCCCATTCCCTACATCCATGCCAACATTTGTCATCCTTTGGTTTTTTCTTTTATCTTGGCCATTTTTCTGTTTTTTTATTTAAATTAGAAACAAGATTGTTTTACAAGTCAATCCCAGTTCCCTCTCCTTCACTTCCTCCCTTGCCCCCCACCAGTCCCGTATCTCATCTCCTTTCTGCTCCCCAGGGAGGGTGAGGTCTTCCATGGGGGATATTACAAGTCTGTCATATCATTGGAGCAGGGCATATGCCCTCTTGTGTGTCTAGGTTGAGGGAGTGTCCCTCTATGTGGAATGGGCTCCCAAAGTCCATTTGAATGCTAGGGATAAATACTGATGTACTCCCAGAGGCCTCATAGATTGCTAAGGTCTCTTCACTGACACCCATGTTCAGGGGGACTGGATCAGTCCTATGCTGGTTTCCCAGTGATCTTGGCCATTCTAACTAGGACCAAATGAAATCTCAAACTAATTTTAATTTGTATTTCCATTACATAACTAAGGATGTTGAACAGTTTCAAAACTAAGTCTCAGTCATATATATTCCTTCTTCTGAGAATTCTGTATAGTTCAATGACCCATTTTTCTTAATTGTGTCATTTGTTTTCTTGATGTTTCAGGGTTTTGTTTTGTCTTAGCTCTTCTTATGTTCTGGGTACTAACCATCTGACATGTATAGGTGGTCAGGGTTTTTCCTCGTTATGCCGGCTGCCTCATTCAATTAATGGTAACCCTTGCTGTGCAATCATGTTTTGGTTTCATGTGGTCCCATGTCATTGCTGGTCTTAATGCCTCTACCATCAGGATCCTGTTCAGAAATTCCTTTCCTGTGCCTATAGGTGTATTCTCTACTTTCTGCTCTATCAGATATGTTATCATGTCTTATCCTGGGGTTCTTGATCTATTTGGAGTTCAGTTTCATAAGAGTGAGAAATAAGAATTTTCTGTATAGCTATCCAGTTTGAGTGGCAGTATTTGTCCTTTGTTGAAGATGATATCTTTCCTGCAGTATGTATTATTGGCCTCTTTGTCAAAAAGAAAAAAAGCAGACTTTAGGAGTCTGGATTTATATGCGGGTCCTCAGTTCTATTCCATTAACCGATATGTTTGTTTTGATGCCAAATACCATGCTGTTTTATTACTGTAACTCCATAGTAAAACTTAAAGCCTTGGCTGGTGATACCACAGCAGTTTTTTTTAATTGTTCAGAATTATTTTTGACTATCCTGGGTCTTTTATATTTTCTTTTGAAATTTAA